TAATTATTACACTTGAATATATTACCAATGAAAAGACTAATATGTATTCAATTCATACTTGCAAAAAGATGTTATATATAGATTATTTTTCCAGTCAAAGGTTCGTTTTCTTTATTTTTAGTTTATTAAAAATAACTTTTTTCGTACTTATTTCTAAGTGAAGATTTATTCTATTCATTCAAGAGAAAAGAATTGATAAATATACATAATTTCAAATAAAAGTTTTTATCATTAGTAAAATATTCTTTTCATAGAATAGAATTTAATCAATCATAAATTATTCAATTGATCTATTAAATAATTAAACATCCATGACAGTTATTAGTTCATATAAAGTACAACTCTATCGATTTTTTAATAATCTCTGAAATTTTAGCAAATATTAATGTTGGATTATACAAAAAAAAACTTCATCTATTATGTTCTATTAACTAAACAATAATAGCAAGAATCATTATTAATCTGAGTGGTAAACAAATAAAAGTCGTGTTAATCATAACTAGAAAATATTTTGTTTTTCTATTCATTCTACTGAAGATTACTTATCAATAATTGATTGACATCATCGTATTTTTTTGTCCCTATATGTTATAGAATATCTATATTTAATCGGTTTGTTTTTTCTAAACAACAAATCATATTGAAGTATTTAATATGATTCAAAATATATTTTTCTATCTATTGCGTTGTATAAAAACTGTTTTTTTTATTAGATAAATAACGTATTTTTCCTATATAAGATAGATGATGTGAGATAATATAATTAATGTTGTTCCGACCAAAAGAACACCCGTCTACAATCTAATTATGTTGCATTAGCGTAGGCAAACTTTTTCTTTTCCAATATATGAGCATATTATTAACATGTCAGGAGAAATACACGCGCGCGCTATTAACTCATTATTATAATGTGAAACCTTCAAGATACTACCTTCAGCATTTTTTCTTATATTAAAATTTTTCTAAAAATATAATCTACGAAACAGGCATTTATTGGATTTATGATAGAATAATATTAAAAAAATTTTTTGTTATGCGAAGTCACAAATAAGATGTAGAAAAAAATGCCGATTCATCAGGAACTATGACACGAAAGATATATGTAATATTAAAAAAAAAGAACAAATTTATCTGATTATCAGGACATTTTCCAGCTACATGTTCGTTTATTTCTCTTTCTCTTTCTCTTTCTTGACTTTTCCCATTATAGAAAAAGACGAAGAAGAAGAAAAGAAGAAGAGAAAAAGAGTTCACAACAACAAACACCTTTGTGACAAACAGCAAGATTCACAATGCTCCATCAAACATCAACTAAACCAGATTTATTCATGTATGTATTTCTCGAAAAGCTGTTTGTTTATACTAATTATTTGGCTGTTACAAAATGCTAATTTCTCTATATTACAAAAACAAAATCTCGTTCTCTTTCCGTTTTCTTTACATCATGCTTTTAAGCTGATAGATAGAAAGACTAACAGCTACTATAACAAAAGCACTAACGGCAAAGGATCATATTAAATAGAAAGGATAGTTATTTACTCTTGTTGGCTTCTTATATTTCTATTCTTTTCTAACATTAAACTTAGCTTTTTTTTCTTGAAACTTATATTTCGATGTATATATGACTAATACATAGAATTTTACTTATCACGACATATAGAAGACGAAGAAGACAATTTTCTTCTTCTTCTATTTCTTTATATATTTCGATCGAGGTACATCATTATATTTACTTATAGACTATTATCTAACATATAATTTATAAATGCACGTCTCAAGCAGGTAGATTATTTATTCATTTATATATAATTAATAATTAATCAATGATATTATTTTGTAATTTATTATAAACTATTTTTTTTCTTTAGGAAAAATAGTTGTACTGATTTACAAAGTCGACTTAAAATTAGAAAAATATTAGGTGTTGGAGATACAGCTGGTTCTAAAGTTAGTCAAATACTCGGACATTCAGATCATTTAGTTTTTCAATTACCACCTAAACTTGCTGCATGGCTTCTATTAACAACAACATTATTTAGTTGTTTTACTGTGATGGTAAATATAATGATAATCATTAACAAAAAAAACATATAATTGTTTTCATAGGGTCTTCTTTGGCCATCATGTTTACAATTTATATTACCCGGTGGTTTCGAATCAACGCTACATCTTGGCACATCATATGCTTGTATGTCTAATTCGATTGTGTTTTTACATCATCAAATATTTTAATATTTAGTTTTGGCAACTATGCTTGGTTTAACACTTCGATCGGGTGACAAAACTTCTTTAAGACTTGTTCTTTTTTCTCTTGCTCTATTTCATGGTTTATCATTTTTTAGTAAGTTTTCTTCTATATTTATTTACATGAAGAAAAAAAAAACAAAATCTATTTTTAGTTTCTATATGGTTTCTTAAAACAAGTGATACAAAAATAAAGTCAATGGCATCACTTATTCTTCATCTGGGTTGTCTATTAATAAATGCGCATTTTTATCGATCAATTATTCGATCTGCGTCATCATTTCGATCACATACTAAACTCAAATCATATTTTCATTCGATCTTATCATTTTCATCATCAATCGATAATAATACTGGACATGATTCTTCTTAAACAAAAAATAAAATAATACTGTATATAATATTTATTGAATATGAATCATTGTTTAAAGACACAAATATGAAAAGGATCTACATATAATTATGATGACGCATATTTGTTCTTCGGGTAATATATTAGACAATCATCTAAGAAAAATATAAATAAACATTGGTAGAAGAATAATGTTGATTTATATAAATTGGACAATATTCCTTTAGACGTTGTAATCGAATTGGATTATATTGTTTTTTAATAAAAGAATTCTAATTTAAACAGTACTGTATTAGACAGTAAAGACGCTATGAAATAGATTTCATTGTAATGCGTGATATGACCTCTAGGTTTTAATTTATCTCATTCAATGAGATTGTTAAAATAGAAATGGTTTTAATTGACAAGTTCACATGAGAACATCATAAGAATCTTTGATACATTATGAAGATGACGAAAATGGATATGAGAAAAAAAGTCAGTAGTTTTGAAAAAATGAAAGATTTTTTTTATGACATGATGTAAGTAGAGGATATGTCTGGAGTCCACTTCTGATTTACAGGAAATAATAATAATAATGGAAATGTTCTGTTCTTCACATACCATTCGCTAAAAATAAATTGAGTTCTATTATTAATCATAAAACAGAATATAGGATATCACAATATAGATCTTTGTTAAACATGTGAATAATGCCGACAGGATTTCAGCGTATTAGGAATTGGTAGACATCATTAAGAAAAATCAAAGTAGCTATAAAATTAGAAATCACATGATTTCTCAAAAAAATATAGAACGAAGATTCTCTTTCTATTATATACTTGTTGTAATAAAAAACTATATATATGCTAAAAATAGTCCTATAATTTATACAAAAACATATCGAGAACATAAAAAAAAACAACAACTCTGCATCTTGTAATTCAGATCATAATCGAGTTTTTCTAGTCTCTTCAATTAAAATATACTCTTTATCATAAAATTTACAAGGTTATATGGCAAAATTAATATGTAGTACTCTCTTATCTAGCACAACAAATTTATTATAATGAGAACATACAAATTATCTGTTATTATTTGAAACCATCGCCAGCTAAATAAAAATTTCTGAATATAAAAGCTCCTATTAATTATTATATGCAAGCCATTTTAATATCAATATTTTCATGAGAAAAGAAGACTACAAATTTCATAGTAAAATTTTGCCCAGGAATGAGACATATGTAGATTTGTAAAGAAATTTTTTCTCTATCGAATGGCATATACACCATCGAATTCTATTGAGTACCGTAGAAATCGATTTTTGGCTTAAATTCAAGCCAATTAGAGACATGGACCCAACTTTCTTTTGTGTCCGTGAACCTCAATAAAATATTGATTTGAGCCCTCAAAATACATCAGTTTGTAGAGAAAACATCAGAGAACAAAACCTTCACCTCAAAAAAAATTTAATGTAAAAAATAATTTATAGGCGAGAGATTTAGTTGACTCCGATACAGGTCTTTAATTGGCTTGAACTCAAGCCAAAAATCGATTTTTACGGTACTCAACAGAATTCGATGGTATATATACCATTCAATACAGAAAAAATTTCTCTACAAACCTACATATCTCTCATTCCTGGGTCAAAGATTTGTATTCTAAAATCTACTATAGATAAATTATGACATTATCATCATATATCACGATTTCACGATCTTATCAGCGATTTTTTTTTCTAAAAAATCGTCCGAAATGACGATTATTTTTGGATGAAAATATAGTTATCATAAATGACAGAATTTTGATAGACTAGATAATTTAACATCATTTGATACTGCACTATCCATACCACCAAAAATCCCGTAAAAGTTGTCGATTTTATCGTGATATAGAAGTCGATTAATTGTGAGATCTATTGCGATATAATCGTCGATATTTTTTAAAATCGCGATTAATCACCGAAACCTTGGCGATTTTGACGACATGGGAATGTTCAACTTATTATTTCTCTTGTTTACAATAACGTATTACGCTTCATATTTGAGTACTTTTTGCCTGTTTACTTTCATTTTTACAAGCAAAAAGATAAAATTAGTAAATACAAGTGAACAAAGTTTTAAGAAAAGGTAACAAATGCAAAAAGAAAAACGCCGAAAAAAAAGAAAACGAAAAGATTGAGTTTACTTTGGTTACCACTCAATATATATTTTTTTTCAAGGCAAGAACAACAGCAGTATCACTGGAATAGATATATGTACGCAAAAAAATTCTCTTGTGTAAATGAATACGAAAGAAACAAGAAACTTTGAAAATTTGCAATAGTATTAAGAGTGGAAATCTATTAGCAAAAAAAAACGAAATCGTCTGAATCAATAGGAAAAAAAACAGGACAAACAAATAACAAACAAAAACAGAAATCTTATTATAGAGAAGATGAGTTTGTTTTTCCGGTAAACATCGATATAGACCCATCATTAAAGCCAACAGCTAGTAATTGTCGATATTGATGAAAAGATAGACATGATACTTGAGCAAATTTTGAATGTTTTATATCGAAAAGAAGATCACCAAAACATGTTTTAAATTGTAAAGCATTTGGTGTTGCTAATGCTAATACATTACCTGTTGAATGTACATCAGCAGCTAACACATTTTGTGATGTTTGTGGTACAGATAATTCAGCACTAACACCACTTTCAATATCCCATCGTCTTAATTGACCCATATTACTAATTGATAATAAACGATCATTTGTATTAACATTTAAACTTATTATAGCAGAATGACGATTTATTGGTGTTGTTGGTGGTATAATAAGTACTGGACTATCTCGTGAACGTGTATCAAAACAATTTACAGTACCATCACCCATTCCAGCTGCACAAAAACCATTCGAATCTGATATAAGACAATATACACCACTGGATGCATTTGTATCCATAGTATATAAACAACGTTCACGTTCAACATCCCATAATGCTACTATATTCATATCCGTACTTGATGCATATATACGACATAAATGTTGATTCCAATCAACAACAAATTTTGAGGGTGTTGTAGAAACTGTAGTCGATGTAGTAGAAGAAGACGCACTGGAAACATTTGATGGCGAACGTTGATGATGAGTAGTAGCAGTAGTATGGAGAGGATTATGTTCATCATATAAAGCGATCCAAGATGAAAGAAGACGTTGTGTAGATTCATCAAATATACGAATAGCATGATTATCAGTTCCAATACAAATTAATGTTCGATCATGTGCATTAATATAATCCAATGTATTGATTGTTGAGCCTACTGAACCAACCTGAAATAATCCAAAAACATATGTCATTTCTTTTTTTTTTTATTATTTAAAAATTTCAAATAACCTTTAATGCTGATTTTGAACGTGGAGTTCCATCTAATTCATAAAAATTTAAATTTCCATTCGAATTTGCAACAGTCAAATAATTCTCATATGGATGAAGACGTAAAGCAAGTGGAGTAGCAGCAGATATTCGATTATTAAATATTGTTTCACGCATATGTTGAAAATCAGCTAATCGACTTGGATTTGAACGAATACAATGATTACGCCAATAGCGTCCACTACGTGCAAAACAATCATCTTCATCTTCATTATAAAAAGCACCTCGTATTTGTGGTGATATACCAGAACCAAGATCACGTGTGATTGTATTTGATACTCGAAATCGACTACAACACCATTGAAAAAATTTTGTTTGAACTGGTTTTTGTGGATCAGTTATAATTGATTCAGCTATTTGAACCATTTCATAAGATGGATCACAGGCAGCAACAGTTCGTATAGCTTCATTTACTCTATCAGAAACAGTTATATATGTTGGACCAACCGGTCGATTTACATTGTTTGTAGCTGTCGGTGGATTTGGATTTGGATTTGTATGAGTAAATAAAGTTAAAAAATGATGTAAAGCAACAAGAACTTCTTGTCGAACAAGTGGCGAACCATCATGAAGACTTTTGATAAGATATGTTGTTGCTGTTCTTGATTGGTCACTACGACGTTCACTTAATTCAACACCAGATGTTGAAGCTGATAAAAAAGTACCTAAAGCATATGCACAAGCAGCACGAACTTCAGGTGAATCATGTGTTGCAAGTAATGTTTGTAATGTCTCTGGTGCACTACTAAGTACAGCTTTTTCACAAGCATGCGAATTTGAACGCCATGCTTGACCAAGAAATAATGTTGACCAAAGAAAAAGTGCAGATGTTTCACGAAAATATGTCACAGGTGTATTTAAAATATCAACAACACGTGGTACTACTTGTAATAATTCATCCTAAAATAGAAGTACGAAAAAACAAAAACAAACGAAAATGAATATTTTTAAGAAGAATTGATTTACTTGTCCTTTGGTATAATTATCAACTAAACAAGTTAGATTGAAAGCTGCTAATGCACGAACACCATTTGATGATCGAACATCAGTTAATGTTGATATAAAATATTCATGACCTTTTTCACGTATAATATCAATTTGACATGCCTAGATATATATGAATAAAAGTTTAAATGATATGATTAAAAATGGATTTTTTATGTACTCGATCAACTGCTAATATTTTTGCCCATATAAAAACAAGATATGGTCGTAGATCATCACTCGTTGCTTGTAATAAACGAAGTACATAGGGGAATATACCAACAGATAAAGCTAGATGTACAGCCCATGTGCCAATATCAAGAAAACGAGCAAGTAAATCAAGTGCGCGTTGTCGATGAGATTGACTGAGAAGTACCTATATATATACACGAAAAAAAACAAAAGAAAATCGTTTAATGTATTAATAAAAATAATGAACTTGTAAAACAATGGGTAATTGTTCAGGTTGTTTTAAATTTTCTCTTTCAATTGTTGATGTTAATAAAGAATTTTCACTCAGCCAAACTGAAAATGCTGTTAATTGATCAGCAAAAAATGAACTTGGCTCATAAACAGGTTCACGTATTCCGCTCTCGGTTTGTTTTAATACAGATGGTAATTGTTTAAGACATAAATCTAAAGCCATATCCCAAGCATTCCTAATAAAAAAAATGATGAAAGTTTAATCTTATTTAGTGGCGTAATCAGAAGTTGACGGGTGGGTAGGCGCCACCGTACTAATTTCCAAAATACTATATAGTATATATGGAAAAGTCGCTTTTTCAAATTACGGGTGGGCGGCGTCTACCCATGCCATACGCCACTAATCTTATTTTACTAACCATAGTCGATGTTCAAACATGGGTGGTAATGCTGGTCTTGAGCAAACATGACATCCATATGAACGCATTATTCTTTCAGCAAGAAGAAAATTTCTGAAAAGTGACGCAACTAATAAATCTTGTCTAAATAATCGTTGAAATATATCTTTTGGTAATGAATTCCATGCAATTGTATCTGTAACAGCAGTAAATATCCAATTTAATTCACCTAACATTGATTTTCGATCAGTAACAGTGCCAGGTATTTTATCAATCATATCTTGATCAATATTTGGATTAAGACGACTTATATTTTTTTGTAAAACATACCAACGTAATGCAATTTTAATTGGTGTAGTTAAACATGATGTAAATAAATCAGCTGGTAATTCGGGATTCATAGGTAAAAGTTCATTTTCACCACAAGCACCAAGTAATATGTCATGTAAAGGTGAAGATGCTGGGAGTTGTGGAGTCATTTGTGTTGGTGTATGTGTAAGAGTAGGTAAAAAATTCTGTGCTAAATTACGTCGTGTTTCTTCAAGTTCTTTATCAATTTGATCAGCAAATTTAACAAATAAATTAAGTATAACAGCGGCATGAGAACAATCAAATACAAAAATAGATGGAGAACTCATCCATTTTTGTAAATCATATAGTGATAATGGGATATATTGAGTAAAATTTTTATTAAATACCCAAATTTCACCATTTGCAGTTGGACGAGGAACACCATGACCATTATAATGAAATAAAATACGTTCTTCCTATCAAAAAAAAACAAAATAAAATCATATAATCTATTTTGCTTCTTGATAGTACATACTCTAGCATTTCGTCGTAAAGTCATACATAATTTTTTAATATCCTCTTGTGTTGGGTCAAGACTTGATTTATATCGTGCTTTAGATTGCCAACGTTCATATTGACGTTGTAATTCAGCAGCTATACTTTCAAGTGCTCGTCGAGGTGTCATAGCAAATGGGTCTGAATAAAAACAAAATATGTATCATATTTTTTTGCGAGAAATGAATCTTTACCAATCCAACATTCAAGTTTTGAACATGGATTTATTTTAGCTACGTCTGGTGGATCAACACCAATGTGAAGACACATAACAAGTGCAACACTAACTGTTTTCATCTATTTATTTATTAATGAAATTATTAATTAAAACAAAAAAATATCATACTCGATCACGTAATCGCCATTCAACTTCAACAGTATCGGAAACATTCAAATTTTCATGATGATGTGCTGCTTGAAATGCCAATGGATTATTCCAATCTTCAAGTTTTTCAAGTTCACTAACAGGTGTGACATAAAATGTATCATTCATATTGAAATCTAGAGTAGGATTTTGTTCTATATTCAAAGAAAGATTATTGATAGAATTCGTAATGCTGCTTGTAAATGAGTTTATTGATGATGTTAATGATTGTGACGAACGTATATTGTACAAACGAGAAACTGTCATAATAAATTATCTAAAGCATGTCTTCCAATTAGATTTTTTTGGTGTTTATATTGACAATGAGTGAAAAGAATGAAAGATATTTAACAAGTATATATAATAAAGAAAAAAAAATTGAACTACATTTTTATTATGATGATGATGTTGCTGAAGATGATCCTTGTTTAGCTAAGACTTTTAATACTTGAATGATTGCTTCTGGTTTAATATTTAGTTTAAGTAATTCAAGAATTATTTTAAACATACGTTCATCAATAACTATATTTGATAGACGAGCTAATTCAAATAATTGAACTTCATCAGATTTTAAAGGTGTAAATTCTGTTGACATCTGAAATATATGAATGAATAGAAATCTAATCTGTTCATGATCGAGAAATCTAACTATCAATAAATGAACTTAGATTTAGACACAAAAAAATCTCTACAATTCATTCATCTGTCAGTATAAACTACAATACATCAAATCTGTTGACCGGAGATATTTATAACTGCTCATCTAATTCTCCTGTGAAGAATAAAAGATATAATTATATTATTTCCGTTAAATTTTTAATGTTTCGAGAAAAAAATAAAATAAAATGAGATACACATACAGAGTTATAGACTTTACAACATCGATCACTGACAATAAATATCGATTCAATCGAGATAAGTAGATGAGACAATATTTAGAAAGAAAACGTATATACACAGTTTTTTCTGTTTTTTGTTCCTTTTTTGTTTTATTGAATTAACGGTTCATCATCATCTTCATCACCATCACCTTCTAATAAACGATCAACTGTATATTCTTGTATATTTGATTCACGATGAGTAAATAATTTCAATATAAAACTTGCCAAGAATATCTACAAAATAGAATATAATTAAAAAAGATTTTAATTAATACAAAACTATGAATATGTCAAGTAATCCGGAAAATCAGGAAAATAAAATCCGGAAAAGAAATACATCGTCTCGAAAGGTTTTGTCGTATGACTGTTGGTGTGGAAGAAGAATAGTCCTTACCTATACATCCGCACCTACATTCGCCCTCATCCACTCATCCACATCCATACTAGGGAGCTGCGGAGTACTCCGAAATCCGATTATCGGAGTCGGAGTCAAAAAAAGTTGACTCCACAGGTCCCTAATTCATACTCACACCTTGGACAACTACAGCTACAACAACGATATCGATCGTGCCGAGCTTCTCGAAAGATTCTCACTTCTTGTGGCTTCAAAGCAATATGCTCATCAGATTATCTCTAATATTTCTACACCTTTTACTTACTATGTCTTCTACCATTAATAAACTTCGAGTCAAATTTTTCAGGATTTTTTCATCTCTGGAGTTTTCTTTTCCGGATTATGTGACATCACCCAAATTATGAGTTAATACTTACAACAAGAAATATCCAACTTAGACAAAAATAGATGGCTCCAAAAAACCAAACTTTATAGAAAAATCGAAGTATAATACGACCCATTACTGTCATTTGACAGTCATCTACAACAAAAAATTTCATTCAAATAAAACTCTCCATACTAAATATTGATTACATACCTGTTTTTACAAATTGTGTACATTTTTCAATGATAATCGTTCCATTCTAAATATATTCAAGATTAAAACAATTAGAAAATAATTTTCCTGTCATCTATATTTCGCTAACTAACAGAATTCTATCGACTATTTTTAATCGAAAGAATATTAATAAGTCTACCACTCTAACGGCTTGGGTTCACATTTCTATTTAGCTTAGGCATCGAAACCCTCAATATCCGATCTAAGTCGAAATGGTAGGAATAGATCTTTCGATATACTTTTAACATACATTTCCAATTGCTGAATAATGTTGATCACCATAAATTGCGTATTGTGGTATAAGAAGATAAACGAATATATTGATTGCAACAACAATAAACATTAATAATGAACAAAGCATTAATATAGCTTGTGGTTTAGTTCTTCCACGAGAAAATCGATACATCTATTTAAAATGAACAATAAATTTTTGATTCTATATATGATCATCTTTCACACTTACTCGAACCCAAAAATACCAAATACCAAGTTGTTGTAATCCATAGAGTGATGTAAATATAATATAAATAAGTAATCCAGTTAGAAAGATATAACTAATTGGATAGAACTAAAAAATATTTTTTAATTTTTATGGTTTTATTATTTGTGTTTTTCCTTACTTGTCCTGTCCATGTTAAAATAATATTAATTGGATTAGGTAATGTTTGATTTCCTTGTGCGAATATTTGTTTGAAATTCACGAAATTTATACATTTATTAACATTACTCAATAGAAGTGAAATAAATATAACAATTGCCAATATGAATAAAAATATTCCAAGAATAATTTGTACTGGTCGATATATATAACGACATTTAAAAAATAAACTTTCTCGAACATTTATGATAGATTCTTCATTTCGACATAAAGCTGCATCTTCTTGTTCAAGTTCAGCTAATCGATGTTTTTCACGAATTGGCATTGGTATATGACGTGGATACTGAAAATAAATTAAAATAGATGGATCAAAATTGAATTTTGAAATATTTTACTCGATTTTTTAATAATCGTATTTGTCTTTGTATTTCACTACGTTGATCTTCAATACTTGCTTGTTGTAAACGTGCACTACGTTTACCACGAATTAATGATAATGGACAAGCAATTGAACCGTAACCCTATATAAATCAATGTAAAAAATTGAAATTTTATTTCAATATTTATTTACTGTATAGATTGTTAAAAGAAAAAATCCAATGATACTGATAGTAAAAATTGAGAATGAAATCGAATCTTCAATTCCTAAAAACGAAAAAAATTTGATTGATTTATTTTTATCGAAAAAACAAATTACTTGAACTATCGAAATGATCAATTAAATATTTAACATGATCCCATTCACTCGTGGAATTATCAGATGGTAATGTTGCCAATTGAGGAACAAATATTCTAAACAATTCTATAGAATTTAAATGAAACAATCAATAGAATAAAATACCCAAGAATGATTAAGACAAAAAGAAAAAGTAAAAATCCAATTGTCCATTTAATTGCTGATTGTATTCGCTACATAATAAGAAAATTATAGTTTAAAACAATTATAGATAATTATATATCATACTTTTGGTATTGTATTGCTTTCTGTTTCTTGCTTTTCTTCGTAATAAAAGAAAAGAAATGGATTAACCAAAAATGCCATAAAAATAACCAGGCCATATAGAACTACAAGAATCAAAAATAAAATCTTAATACTCGTTGAAAAAAATAGTACGATTTGCATAGCACTTTAAGTAAAAACCGATGCGAAAAGACAGAGAATACAAGTCAAATCGATTCTTTATCTAGAGTGTCAACAAGAATCGAGGGATACGATCAGGGGGACTGGCGCATAGGTGCAGAATGTTGCTCGTACGCCCCCGCACGGGGAGGGAAATTTTTTAAAGCTTCATTTTTTGGGGAAATTTTCAAAATTTATTCGAAGAATTTTTTGAAAAAATTTTCCCGGGAGGGATATTTTTGGTTTTTGGGAAGATTCTGCACCTCTGAAGGGAGGTCTAGCGCCCCGCAAAATTCGAAACGCTGTCTGTCTTTCTGCCAAACTTTTTAAAGCTTTTCCGAAAACTTGGTCAGAAACCTGGTTTTTATGCTATTTTTCCGCCAGAAACTCCAATAAAAACCCTTTTTTCGGGTAAAATTCCGCAGAAAGTGTATAGCGTAAGTATTTTCTACGTTATATGCGTCAGAAAGCTATATGACGGCACTTTCTGACAAATTTTATTCCACCGCACTTTTGAAAACAATTGGAAATCCTGACAAGAATAGTAACAGACGGAATGTTAAATATATTATTCAACATCATCATGCAATCTCAGTTTCATAAAGAATGCGCTTTGACTTAAACTTTGGATATACAAATAGTAACTCATAGGTCAAAAGAACATCAAAGGATTTACTCTACATAAGTATAACAAATTGAACATACCATAATATCCAACTTCGATATATTTTTGAATATGATCTCTTGTTGTCGGATTTGATACCCATTCCTGAATATATATATATATATATTTTTCCTTTCTTATTTATATTCTCATACTTTAAATGTTCCATTAGGATATTTCATAAATGATACAAAAATAACATCTGTTGGTAATAAACTTGCTGCTAATAAAGCAATAATTAATGAAATTGAACAAACAAATGTAACCAAATAATCTCGACGTCGTTTTTGTTGATAACGTAATATAAACAGAATTGCGAAGCAAATAATAAACTAACAAAAGATTTAAAAACAAGTCATTATACTAAGACATTTATTAATCACAACTTACCAAGCCAACAATTGCAAATGGTAGCCAACTACCTAGTGAAGCTAAAACCAACATAATAGCTGCAAAAGAATCTAAAAAAGAAGATTATGTAAAGATATAAGCTTAGACAGTTAAATAAATGTATGCTCTCGTAATCGAACACTGTCTTCGTCTTGTTTTTTTATATTCTTTTGATTACATGATGATGATAATAATAAGAAGAAAAGACAAAGCTTTGTCCAGACACGGAGGTGTGGATATATTTTCAAGATAGTCAATTGAACAAATGTAAAGACATAAACAAACATGACAACAGTTGGATCAATACGGATTTAAATATTTTTAATCATAACCACCATCGAACTATATAAGAACGATGAACAACATGTTCATTCATTCTTTATTCAAATTACAATGATGAACAATCATCGTATTCTTTATTTGACTATATTCGTTCTATTTCTATTCGATTTAACGATATCAGCTACACCTAATTGTCCTGTTGAAGGTAGAAATCTATTTAGTTAAAATAAAATTCTAATCATGTTTTTTTTCTCGTGTAGCGGATCCGACAACAATTCTTAGTTGTGTAGCTATCGATGCTGTCGGTTTAGTTCAAGCAACAAAAGGTAATATACGAGCTTTTTGTACTATGGCTGAACGTTTTATGGAATGTCTTAAAACAAAAACAAGAGGATGTATTGGAGAAGATGTAAGACTAATAAGATTTCGATTTATTTTCTATAAATTTCTTATTTGTAGTTTGTACGTGGATCTCTTTCCGAATTAATTGAACTGTCACAAAAATGTTGTGTCAATAAAGGAGAAAGAATGAGTGAAGAATGTCCATTTGTTTGTAAGTTTAAATTTTCTTAATCATTCATTTAATTTCAAATCTTTTTTTCTTAAAGCAAAACCACAATGTTTTTATATGACTGATATGGCAACATCTCCAAAAGGAAACGAAATTCCTATAAAAGATCTTCAAATAGGTGAAAAAGTACTCGCAATTGATCATAATGATCAAATCGTTTCGACAGAAATCGTGTCATTTCTACATTATGAAAATAATTCTCAAAGTAATTTCATACGAAGGATTAATTAACTAAACGTATTTCTTTAGCTTTTTTCTATATATTCACAACTGAAACGGGTCATCAAATATCTGTAACATCCGATCATCTAATGTTTATTGGAAATCAAACATACATTCAAGCTCGTTTTATTGATCTTACACAACATAATCTCTATATTATGGGAAGTAATGGTCAATTACAACCATCACGTATTCGTTCAATTGATGTTCAGCTTAAACAGGGATATGCGACACCAATAACTCAACATGGAACATTAATTGTCAATAATATTAGTGCATCATGTTATTCATCGATCTATCATCATAATTTAGGTCATATGGCAATGGCACCTTTACGTTGGTTTCATCATGCTAAACAAATATTTGGTGTTGTCAATAATAATGAAATGATTAAAAATGGTATTCATTGGTATCCACGAACACTAAATAATTTCTTGCATATATTTCGTCCCTTAGCAAATGTATTTACAACTACAATGGGAAATATTTAAAGGAACAACGATGAAATTTTGTTTAATACTCATGTAAATAAGAATTGATTTTAGACGAAAAATAATAAAGAAAAAAAAAACAGATTCTTAGTTGAATAGATATTTAATGACGACTGAAAAAAAAAACAAAATTATATTATATTTACCGTATATTATTCGTTTTGTATGACTAAAGAAAAGTATTTTTTTTCTTGTTTTTTTTTTTATATTTATGTCTCATTTTGTGTCGTAAACAATATAGCAATTTTAACTAATCATAAACATTATGAATAGATGGCGCTGGCATTATTGTATTATGTAATAAAAATGATCAGCAGATTAAACTATGATAATCATGTGATTTTTATACAATATAGTAATCGTCACGAATATATTTTTTTCATTGTTTAAAATGTACAAGATTTCGTAAAGCTGTATGAATGAATAGCTTACATTATTTGATATCGATTTCTATAGTATTAGATAATTTCTTTCAGGTGTATTAATTCATGAAATTATAAATAGAGAAGTAAACCAATGTATTGATTTGAATGGGCTGTTTAGAATGAAAAATAAGGATAAAAAATGTATTTATAAGATCGTTCGATTTGTAAATCAAAGTGTTGTAAAATCCATTTTTGTCCTTATAGTATACGTAATAAAAGCATATCGAAAAATCAGATAAGAAAAAATTTTACTAGCATGTTTTATTTTGCATGTATCGTTATTTTAAAATATGATACGAAGTTGCTATGTTTTTTTTCAAACAATCTACGATTAAGCTCAATGTTTCAAACACAAAAACAGATCTTCATAGACATCTCTTATAAATTTAATCGATTACTAGAGATAAACATATCTATTTTTGTATTCCTTCTTATTCATAAAACAGTTTAAAAAGAAAGATTCTAGAGTTTCAGAACTGTGTACGTGGCTTGGAAATAAGTTAAGCTTTCCTCCTCGCGATGTTTCTCGAATAACGCTAACGAACCTTTCATGATGTATACAATACAAGACATTCGTATCTTGCCTCGGATGTGAGACACCAGGGCCTGAGGATAGAGCTCATATTCGAGTGTATGGTAATCGTTCGGATATAGGTACCCGTATATCTAGAAGGCATGTTCAATGGAATACAACATCGGAATCGATAAAATCAATGCACGGAGATTGAATATATATTTGAGCTATTAAAATAAATATTTGCGTGTATTTCTAAATTTGAACGTTGTAAAATTATTGCTCTAATAATTAGTTTTTAATATTCATGAAAAAGATTGCCCTCTTCTTTTCAGTCATTATTACTATTACAGCTTGATTTTAAATGGGTTTGTCTATCTTGATAAAAAAGATTATTATTAATTGTGAAATCTTTACGATTGAAAGTATAACCCCTAGCAGTTTTGAGAAATGGGAGTTCGAAGCAAAAAAAAGTATTTTATTTAAATGCAAATACTTTAGTATAAGTATGATGTCAATATTAAAAATCAATAAGACAATCTACAATAGTTCAGTATGTATCACATTCTTTGTTTTTCATTAATTTAAGCTACCAATATGAAGAAAATAAATTTTAAGGTCGAGTAACTGTTTGTTCTACGTTATAATTTTGTGGTGGTCGATAATTATCACGATATTCAGTTGAAGAACGTGCTGCTCGATCATGTAAATCTTGTGCCTGAGCATGACGTTCTTCTGTTTCACGAAAATAATTTTCTGCTTGAAGACGAAGACGTCTTTCACGAAGTACATCTGCTAAACGTTGTTCTTCATGTTCATGATGTTTAAGTTGCTAGCAAACAAAACAAAATAAATAATCTATTTTTTATTTCATCTTACATGTACTGCTAATGAATTAAATGTTCGTTTTTGTCCATGTTGTTTATCAGAATACCGTCCACCATAATTAACAAAAGGTGGACGATTTTCTAAATTCTCATTACCATGTGTTAAATCACATAGACCATAAGGCGTCTTAATAGCTAGAAATAAACATATTAGAATTTAGATTTATTGTTTAATATGAAATTTATTTTTACCATATTTGCTTCTTTTCTTAATAAAATTACTCCAATTACAATTATTTGATAATCGTTCTGGTGGAACTGATTTTGGTCGACTTAATCGTTCTAAATCAGTTGATGTTAGTGTTGAACGAGTAGGTTTTGTTTTTGCTGCTGTTGATGGTCGTTGTTCAGGTATTGGTAGTGGTGAAATAACTTCATGTCGACTACAAGAAGATTGTGGTCGATCAAATGTTTGTTGTCGTCGTCGATCAGCTTCTATTGAACAAGCATTACACGCTGAGAAATCACGAGTTTCTTGTAAATGTGAAAGTGAACGATTATTTTTAATACGAAATTTATGTTGTTCATTAAAAACAAGACGTGGACGATCTGCTATACGAGTAGATTGAACATCTTTTGCTGGTTTTGGCCCATATACTGCCATGTTTTATATTGAAAAAAAAATGTATTAGTAACAAAATGCTTGAAGGACAACAATAAAAACCACAGTAAGACTATGAACATTTTCATTTTTTATTGTTTCCGAGAGCAACGGAGAGGAACATATAAGAAATCGAAGAGATGTCAGTAGTTGATGAATTTTTATCTTTATTACATATTATAGAAAATTTCATCTCGAATGTCAGAACAATCACGATTGATAATTTGCTTATTATATTTTATGAAGACGAAAAAAAACAAGTTAATTTTTACTAGAACTAAACATATAAGATTTTTTATTGTTATATGTATCGTGACGTCGAATGTCATTATATGTATATATATAAATGTAAATAATTAACAAAAAATTTATAATTTATCTTTTAATTTTTGCCATGTTTTTGAACCTAATGCTTTAGCAAAATGATCATCAACAACAGATTCAGTTATTTGACGATTAATCGATGAAATTTCATCAGGATTCATTGACCCAAATTTCGCAAGGGAACGAGCGAAATGTTCTTCGATTGAATCGACTAGAAAAAATCGATGGAATTTTTTTTTTGAAGAAAAAGAATAAAATTGATAAGACCAACCTGAAGTTTGTTCAATAGATGAACTATTCGATGAGGAATCATCAGGAGTAAAACAACGATCTGTAAATTTACCATAATTATCTCCTAATGATTTTCGAAAATGTTCATTTATTGTTTCATCTAAACAAAAAATGAATTATTCTAATTTCTCTTACGAAAATAATACCTTCACTTGAAGTATAACCATATTTTTGTTGTTCAGTTAAGATTCGATAATTATCAAGCAATTGTTGTGCCATAAGACAATCATAGGTAAATGAATGAAGATAATTTTGTTGTGGATTAGTTGATAAATAAGCATATTGTTGACGTAATAAATCCATATGTGGTGTGGATGGTGGTGTTAAAGTATTAAGTGATGATGGAGTATGTTTATGAAATGAATCATCATCTTTCGAACAAGATCTAAGAAATAATTTATTCAAAATAATTTAGAAGTATTAATTTTATAACTTACTGTTTGATTGTTTTCGAAAAATTTTCATTTTGTTCATCGTTTGTTACGAGTGAATCAATAAGATAAGTTCGTCGTTTTTTTAACGGAAGATTTTTTAATATCTGATTTTGATTGCACATAGAATTGTTATTTGTATTTTCTTGGTTCATTGAATAAATTTTGTCTAAAATAAATAAGCTTGATGTTTTTTCTAAATCACTCCTGTTGATTTCAGTCATATGAAATAATTTTCATTCTTAACATAGTTTTATTCGAAGATGAGAGAGAGAATTATAAATGTTCTCTTCTCTGTTTTGACTGAAGCAAATAAAATATATAATGAAGGAAAGTAACGATCAAATGTCAAATGTCAAAATGTTAATTTTTCACACTTTCATTACGTACTCTATAATCGAGAAATAAAATTAAAAGAAAACAAAGTTTTTATGTAAAAAAAAATCATACAATATAAATAAATACATAGAAACGGTTTTAATGTGTTATTATTACTACAGTTTATTTGCCTACTTCCTTCATTTTATTTTTGGACATCAACATCATTCAATTTCATTGCATTTTTTTTCTCACATTTTTTTTACTTCATGATTAAGAAAAAAAATAGTCAGTAATGCTACGTTACACAGTAAAATATTAACACGTTGACTGTCCCATGAGAAAAAAAGTAATACCTGTTGTACGCCCTTTTTTGATTATTCTTAATATTATGATATATCATTGATATTTTTCTGATTCGTCCTATATTTCAAGAATGGTCGATTAGTAACGTCTAACAAATTCTAGCTTAAGATATCATATGCTAAAAGCAAGTCGTACGTGATGCGAAGACTTTTTAGTCAAAAGTATCGTGCATCACATGTGATGCACCGGACTGTCAACGTGTTAATAAAGAAAAGAAAATTTCGATAAAATCAAAATACATGTATATATTTATGATTGTAGATGATCTATTATCGAGTTTTATTAAAACATTAATTTCTTTTTACATCTTATCGTTGTATCTTGTCGATTATTTGTTATTTCATATTCAGTTATTCTTTTTTTCGTATGTAGATGATTTTACGCATTCTAATCGAACACTTTGAATAAGAAAAAACAAAAAATGAAATGATTTTTCAAGCTGTCATATATATAATATTCATTAAAATTTCAATCTAAAGATGTCTTGTGATAAGTCTCATTGATAACATGTGTTGATTATGCTAAATAACAAAATAAATAACTGATAAATAGTCTATTACATATTTAAAAAAAAATTATTAATTTACTAGACGGTAAAATCAGTGTATAAAGTATATTTATTTATGAGTAAATAAGAAAGAAATGTGTGTCCAATTAAATATGGTATGTAGAAAAAAAAGCATGTTGAGTATGTAACAGTAAAAACTAAGTCAGCAATTACACAGTCATTCGAAAAGATCGATAGTTTATTGACAGGATGATTGTGTTGTTTTAAGAAGCGAATTTACTCAAATAATGATAAACAACCCATTACATACAAACGATTTGATAATTAATGAGTGCAAATAAATATTGATGGACACATTAAAATACATTTTGATAAATTTGTTCTTATCGAATTTGCAACGATCTATACAAGTAATATATTAAATAATAAATAGAAATTACATATCAAACCTTAAAAAGATTTTTCCTTGATCATTGTCTTTTCCCTAAAAAGAATTAATTTCAATACTTTATATAAAATGAAAGAAGAGTAATAGATCTAACCAAATATTTCATAATATTTTCAATTTGTGCAATTGGAAATGGTATTTTAGCTTTTCTTAAACTAAACAGAAATTGATCATAAGTAACTGACACCCGATTTTCTTCATATGGAATAAATAAATCCGTCAAATCAATATCATTTTCATCACAATATGTATGAATTAAATTTAAAAGATGATTAACAAATTGTTCTATTGTTTTTTTTATTGGTTCAATATAATATTTCAATTGTTTATGATTTGCAAAAAGTTTTTCAACATGAGAAATTTGTTTTGAATTTAATGTTAAACCCTATAGAAAGATAACAACGAATAAAAAATATAAATAAAATAATAAATATACAGTTAAATCAAGTTCTTCTAATGATATATTATCAAGTTTTGATAATGCTTCTAATATAATTATCATACAACGTGTATCAAGATGATTATGTCCTAACTAAAAAGAAAAATTATCTTCTAGAATGCATAAAATTTTCTTACTCGAAATCTTTTTAATACTTGATTTGTCATAGCTACGACAAGTAGATCATAAATAGACGTATTATTTCCCGTAATTAAACTCGATGGATTTTCTTCAATATATGTATTATATTGGCAAAAAATTTGATTCCCAGATAAATTCAAATCATTCAAAACCATATTGCGTGTTAATGAATTTGTTAAATATTCAACTGTATCATTTGTAAAACTATTATTTGATAAATCAAGTGATATTAATCTATTATTATCACCAATTGCTTTAGCTAAAGCACAAGCACCCATTAAACGAATACTACACCAACTTAAATCAAGTTTAAGTAAAACATTATCATCACCTGATATTTAAAAGAAAAAAACAATCGATTATTTTATACAGATAAGAAATTATATGTACATAGCCATTTAGCAATAGAAATGCCACCTTCTTCATTTAATTGATTATGACTTAAATTAAGATCTCGAATATTCGAACGTTCCTATTTATATTTATTTGAATAGTCCTTTCATTATTAATCACTTACCTCGAATTGTAATAGTAAAATATTAATATCACTTGCTATTAGTTCATTTCCTATAGAAAACAAAAATATCAACATATAGAATTTCACTTAATAATACAAACCAGCAATATTTAAACATTTTAATTGATTACAAGAAGCAATTCCAGCTGCTAATTTACGAATACCTTTGGTGCCGAGATTATTATACGAAAGATTCTATAACATAAACAAATTTACCTTTAAAAAAATATACGAAAAAATTATCTAGATGAAATTTTGTTTTTCATTCGAGAAACAATAGATCTATAGTTTAAAATACATTATAAATGATTCTTTAATTACATTTTAACTATGAGTAAATATCAGAGGATTTTACTGATTTTCAGTTTTTTATCATAACAGTCTAATATTCTTATACTATAGATCTCAAAGTACTGTGTAAAGTGGGGAGCTGCGGGTAGACCCGGAACCCGATCGGGTCCGAGTCTAACAAAAAACATTTTTCTCGGGTCTGGGTCGGGTACGGGTCTAGTAGATTGTTTTTTTCTCGAGTCTCTGCTGGATCTGGGTTCAAAAAACCGTGCATCCGCATCTCTACCTTGTATACAGAGGTTGCTATATATTGGTAAAAAGAATCTGGGTCTGAGCCTGACCGGGTCTGGATCAGATACAGGTCTGGGTCGGATCCGGGTTCAAAAAAATGTGGACCCGCAGCTCTCTAGTGTAAAGAGATTTATATATATATATCTTACTTACATATTCTTCAACATAACTATTTTCTTTAAGAACTTGATAGATATAAGACATGCCTGTATTTCCAATATTATTTCCTGATAGATTCAATGATAAAACTGTTGTATTACGCTAAATATTAGAAGAAAAATAAATATGAATTTTTTTTCTTTTATAGATTTACTATAAGAGCTGCAGCTAATGATGCTGATCCTTTTGGTCCAAGTCCATAGTTTTCTAAATTGATTTTTGTTGTATTTAATGATTGTAAAATCATTGAACATATTGAAATATTTAAACGTTTACATGTTTCTTCATAAATTTGTAAACTTGATTGATCGTTCGATATAATATCTACTTATATAAAATGCGAAAAAAAAATTATTAAATTTAAAAATTTTATATCAGTTTTACCTGTATCACCATCACTATTTGATCCATCATCCCATTTATTATTATCAAATTGAATTACAGTCTTATTATTTGTTGAATCAATTACTGGATCTTTTGTATCATTAAAATGTACTTGATTTTCTGTTAGATTTGTCATTAAACGTGGTCGAAAAGCTTGTAATGTTGTTTGAGCTAATCTTGTATAAGGATTTTCAATAATATTTGCTTTATGTGAATCAATAATGTAATCAATATTTGGATCACGTTTAACATTACTACTTACAAAACCAATAACAGGAGGATATGAATATTTCAAACGAATACGTTTACTATCTCCACGTAATTGTGAACCTGTTGATTTATTTGTACCTGGTCTACTTGAATAACTTCTAGTAGTTATATCACTATTTGTCTTTAAATTAAGTTCTTCTTCATAATCATCATCATCTCCAAAATAAATATCATCACCCCATTCTGATACAGGATATTCATTAATATCACTTAAGCCCTATTTTATTAAGAGAGAGAAGAAAAAAAACAAACGTAGTAACTTATTTTTATTCTATGATTACCTCTGTTGAAACCATTTGTTGAATTTTGATTAATTCAATGTTTTATTCATTCATTATATATATATATATTGCATCCATACAAATTATTCTTATTAGATTGAAGGTTAATAATAAAAAGAAGAACAGAACGGATTGCAGAATTTCGCCAGTGTCATTAAGTGCTTACACATGTGCTCCTAGTAACTGTATTAAGGAGTTTAAACTATAGTATACTTATTCGAATAATATTAGGTTAATTTTGTACTAATCTTATATTAATAAAGTTGACGAGACTTCACTATACTTACGCCAATGACGAATGTTCTATTATTGTTATTTGCTGATCATATTGTTCTTATCAAATACCTGCGTTGCAGTCGACATATGACAAAATTTCTTTAGACTTTTACAATAGACAGATGAAAAGCCGTTTTGATATTATCAATGTATGCGTAGATATTAATCAACAAGAAAAAAATTCATTGAAGAAAGAACTATGTGACATAATTTGATCTTTCGATGATAATGTAATGAAGCATAGTTTTATTGATTTATATTTATCTGAAATCGAATTAATTTTGTTTCTATAATATAATAATTCATATTATTTGATATCATACAAATTTTATAATTCAATCGTATAAAATATTCAAAATAAATCTAATATTTAACAAACATGTTATATCGATATAATGTCATATATTGAGATATTCCGTGTGTGACATACATATTCTTAATAAAAAAAGTCATTTGAATTAGATTCTGTTAACTAATGAGTGCCAAACAGCAATCAATTATTTAAAATGTCTTTTTATCACGTTTTGTTGATGGAAATATATTTTTCTTTAGATTAATCTTGATTGTATATATTATAGGCATAAAACTATTTATCATTCGTTTTATGGTAAACAAAAAGAGTAGACTAGTATCATCTTGTTTCCTGTTAAATAGAGACAAAGAATATATATATATAGTTACGACTTTTTGAAAAAAAAATATATCTTATAAATCTTTTCTATAGATAAAATCAAGGTTGTTAATTATAGTATTGTGATAATAGCTGATAAAATAAACATGAAGTGATAACTACTTGTGAAACTACAATCAAAGAGTTTTTTGATTTTATTGAAAGGACGAATATAAATCATTCGAGATAAATACAGACAACGAACAGTATTATAAATTTTTTTGTTGAAATAAAGATTAATGTAGTGGTTGATCGACAGCATCAATAGATAGTTAAATAAGGTAATTTTTACATGATTGACAAAAACAAAAGAGAATCTATTCAAGGTCAAAAAATTATTAGTCTTATTTTCAAGCATATTAAATACTTGATTAATTAAGTAACGATATATTTGTATTTCCATTTTCTTTCTTTTCTTTATATGTATCGGAAAGTGAAGATTTATTCAAGTGTATCGAAATCGATTATAAAGAACGTCTTGATCAATAAGAAGATGTTGATGAATAAATAATTGAATTTGTGATTATTATACATACTATTTCCATTCGATCAGAAATAAGAAAAGAATAAGATGTATTTCTTCTTATTGCTAACAATGTAATCTAATAAACGAAGGGATTAAGTTACTTATTATAGAAGATAGTTAAACTATAATCACCCTCTTATATAAATAGGCAACAAAATATCGGCTTTTTTCGGTAATACATAAAGAACGAGAGAGAAGAAGAAGAAAAACGGCGAATTTCATAAATATAATAAATCGGTCGATAATCATTATCGAAAACAAGCATAAGAAAAGAAATAGAAATACATGCATACAAAAAAAAAAA